AAAATTTCATGCACACTCTGTGTTCCTTCTGGTCGGCCATCTCACTAATTGCCAAAGGGTTGAAACAGGAACGCACACAACAGAGCACCACAGACAAACCACTTAACTCAGACTAACGCCAGCTCACTAACAGTCACGGGAGACCCCCAGCTAACATCACCTAGCAGCACAACTCGTAACTACAAAGCATGCGCGCGCAACAGGTCGGTTCCGGTTATTTTTGGGTCCCCCTTCGTATAGGGAACTTCAAAATTCACAGGAGTCTTGGGATAAGATACAGGAGTCTCTGTCCAAGGTTTCAGAGCTGTGTGTGGATTTTTCTGATCACATACCAAAACCTGCATCTCTACCAAAGAGAACCATCTAGGAGTGCAAATATTATTAACCCCACACTCAGTTATTAGGCCATGTTAAGCTATAAGTCCTCTGATGCCTTCATTCTTATGATCAGCCTATTACTGAAGATAACAGAATGTGTCTTACAAGTGCCCCCATCTTAGAACTGTATTATGTACCTTTTCCTAGGTGGGAAGATGCTGGAAGGGTCAACACAGACTATATCAATCATGTTAAGCTATGTGAGCATACAATTAAACAAGATGAGAAGCTTGCACACTGAAGGGATAGACTGATAGGCAGGGTTCATTTCGCATTGCTGCACAACTTTTCTCTACCTTTTACAGATATGACAGCCATACTCAAGTCCAAATACTGGAGTTTACATGGAGTCTCCCTGGTTAGAAGTGAACAATTACTGAAGAACACAGGATCAGACACCTACAACAAACAAAACAAAAGTTATCCACAGTTATAAATCTCTACACACACAGAAAACTGATATTCTCACTCCCTGAGAGAAAATTTTTTCTGGATCTCCACGTCAGAGAACTCGTCAAGCCATTCATGAAAGTCTCGTTGAGTATAACATAAAATAATGAAAACCATTTCCTTCTTTGAAGGAAGAATATGGGTTACAGAACTTTCGAAACAGAATGCTTGGAGAAATATGTGGATCCATGAGAAATTAAGTAATTAGACTTCTATAGGTCATTTACTAAATGTTCATAAGGTGAAATCCATAGTGATGCATTTTATATATATATATAAATAACCGTTAGTGCATGATAAACAATGAAACAAGAAACAGTGCTGCAGACAAGAGTATAATAAAAAACTTAGAAACGAATCAAAATGTGAAATATACAGTATAAGTCATGGGAAAATGAGGTAACAAAGACAAGAAAAACAGACATAACAGTATCAAGGATGAGACATTACCTAAGAAAAATTCAACAGTATCAGGGAACAACAAGACATTACCTAAAAATAATGCAACACAGGTTATTTAGTATTGATATTGATATATTGATGATAGCGCACTGTTAATATACAATGAGATTAACACACACTAATAAATCATACTTGAAAATTGTATCTAACATAATTATACATATCAATTTTATGAAGATTGACACTAATACAACCAAAATAAAAACTGAGTAGGACTGCGCAAATAATGATGTAAATTTAAATTAAACTATATTATATTTAAGCATCCTGTTGCACTCCATACGATAAATGATATAATGATACAAATTCCGTCCCAAGTGCAAACAATATATTATGTGTCCTTGATCTTGCTCCTCTACACTACATGTTTCGGCCTCAGACGGCCATCATCAGGTGTATAACACTCACGTTGCTGTCACACTGCACCCAGCCCAAAATTTAACATTTAAAACACTTTCCTTGTTATTATCAACATCTACTTCGTTGATATCTGTCTGGTTTGTAGATTATTTTACACACGTTAATTTTGACGTTCCTGTAGTAGCACTACAAAATCTTTAGTTCTAATTTTAAAATCTTTTAAAATTTTTCTCTAAATTTTATTTTAAATTTTAAATTGTTAGGGTTACTCGCCCTATGCCTAAAGTGCTGCAGCGGCTAGTTCTTGTTTCCACACTGTATAAGTGTTATCCTGTGTAGTCTTCCTGTGTGCGTGCCGCTGTTATTCTTTACTACGTAAATTAAACTATTTTAAATATTCTTTTATAACATAACTGTATTATAGATCCATAGTAATAATAATTACAATTCAGTATTTTATAGCTTTAAATAATGTATCACCTGATGATGGCTCCAAGTGAGCTGAAACATGTTTAATTTTAACATAGTTAATAAATACAATTGACACAAATGTGGTGATGAGTAAATTGCTTATTTGTTGTGTGTATATATATATATATATAGTCTAGTGATGTCCCGAATATTGGTCAGAAGTTTACTACTTGAGCCACCTCCTTCCTGGGAGGACACTGTTAAAATTATTCTTGGAGGAAATAGATTGTCAGGGTGTGGACTGGCTAAGAATTATGTCCAGTTGTGGATCTGGGTAATAAGTAAAGAGTTCTGTTGAAGAAATTTAGTTGGTTAGTGAATGGACTGGAGCATATCTTCAGATCACGTGGTGTGGCGTTGAGCCATTGTATGTCAAGACAAGAGAAATTAGCACATTTTATGTTCCGTAAACATAGTCCTATGTTGCCAGTTCCATGACATCGGTAATATAATCCAAGTAAATTTCCTGAGCTACAAATTTTTGACCTGCCATCTAGTATGAAATTGATTGATTTTGTATAATTTATGGCCTCTTTGGCATTGATATGAGATGCTACGTTTAAGTACCAGATTTCTCTCAACATGACTAGAAGGATTAAAATTACTGGAAGGAAGACTAGGCAGTACATGCAGTAGCATAGTTGGTTGAGGTACTGTGCTACAGGCTGTAAGGTCATTGGATATTTCAATTGACCTCATCCTTCTAGTCGCACTATGACCCTGGGGTTGACTCAGCCTCTAATAGAAATTACCAGGAATCTTTCTGGGGGTAAAGAGCAGCCAGCACATAAGGCTGACAACCTTACCACAATCTGTGAGCTGACGGTCTAGAAATTGTTGGAGCCTCAAAGTCTGACAACCTTATGGGCCTCCACAGCCCATCATGGGGACAGCTAGCTTACCTTAGCATATACGTATTTATATACACAACAGGATGCATTATGCTGGACATGCTGCTCATACTGGGAAGACAAGAAATTCATATAGAATTCTTGTGGGAAATCCACTAGGAAAACAAAGGACACAGAAATATAATACTAAGAAGGAAGATGAGTTGGAAGGACGTTTGGATAGACCAGACTTAGGCTCATGTCCATAGTGAGCTCTGATATTAGTTTTATCAAACCTTCTGGTTCTAATACTAGAGAGTTAGTGTTTTATACAATAAACTCTCAATTATCCATGGCAATGGATAGGAGAAGTATTATGAACAATTATGAAAATGGACTATCCAAAGACCTCAAAGTACCCATTATAGATGCTGCATTAAATCCCTAAAATTACTTTGTTATATAATTACGGGTCATACTACTGGTAGCAAGCAGAGAAGCAAATATCTTTCCAACAAAAGAAAAGAACCCTTGTTCAGTGGAAGGTAGGGGCAGAAAGTGTATGTGGAGACCAGTTGTAACAGAGTGAGAAGACTTACAATCTACTGCAAACTGACCAAAGCATTGTTGATACACAGACCTGCTACTGAACCATATATAAGGGATAACACTTATATAATAATGCAAAGCTATGATGAATACCTGCGGGCTTCTGAAAGTCCCATATCTAATCCACACATGGATAACTGACAGTCTACCATAATTCATTACATTTTTAGAAAATCTCTTACTTCCGCCTGGGCCAATCGCAGGATAATGGTTCCTCGTATCAACACATGACCAAGATTTCCAGGATTAAGACTCCTTGATCCAAGGTCCAACCTTGTCCACAGTACTTCATCATAAGCAATTCTTTGCCAGCGTTTACAGACTAGGGAACACCTCACTAGCATATTCTTTGGTAACCATCGGAATATCATGAGCACCATCTCATCCGACAGCTTTAAAAATACATCTAAAACAATAAAACAAACAGGTAAGTTGATATTAATTGTTTAAAAATTTCTAATAAGAAATAAAGAATGAAGCTCAACATTACTGGCCTATATTTTCTGATACAGAATTCATATAAACTGTTAAGAGGAAAAGGGAGGTACTTAGAAAGCCAGAAACATTCTGCGCTTTCAACAGCAGCTGTGGTACTGTTGTTCTCCTTCAGCCATCTCATGATCTTTTGCTGTGCTACTTTCACCTCTTTCCACAGAAGATGGAATGCTTGAAGGTACATCACTTTAAGTGCCTCTCAAAGTTATAATGCAAAATACTGTCATGTGTCTGGGGTTCCGTGACAAATAACTGTGGCGTGTTTGGTTTTGATCATTGAGTTTATTGGACATTACTAACACATGTACACTCAGGTACAATAAGTCACACATTCAGCTATTTCTGGGTACCGAATCCCTCACTCTTGTCTGCATCTTACACCTCTGGTCTTCAGGACTCTCCCCTCAGTTCTGTTCTGTGTCTTAAATTCTGAACTCTGAACTCTTGGCCGCAACACTTTTTATTCCTGCTAAGCGGAGTGGAGAGGAATTACTCCCTTAAAGAGTTCTGTTCTGTCATATACGTGGCAATAGCCCATTCAGAATGTTGTTACCATAAATATGTCTCCAACAGCTCCATCAAAACCCAGGGTAAGAGTGTGTTTCACGTTACCACAGGAATGGTCCCATGAAGCTCCGCCCAGTGGATGCATTGTGGCTTTCAGGCCACTCATCACAGTATGCACTGTTGCGTGACATGTTTAATTGTCACCCAGACAATGATGCAGGAACGTGGCTTCAAGCCTTTGTCTAGCAATGGACACCCACTCTGACTCAGATATTTTGGCTTCTAGGTAGCATGCCACAATATCATGAGTGGTAGCTTTCAGAAATAGTTTCAACAGTTTCACAAATGCTGGCAGAAATATGTACCTGGGGAAGAATAGTACAGTGGAACCTCGCTTAACGAGCGACGTTTCGCATTATGAGTGACAAGAGGGGAAGTCCCGGATTGTGCACTTGCTATATCAGTTTGTGTTTAGCACTCGTTCTGCTAGCATCTTAGTGTCGCTTGTGATCACACATTTTTCCAAACTTGTGTTAAAACATATTATTTGTGATTTTTCTTTGTGCAAAGTTTAATAACTCTTAAAAAATGTCCTGACGAAAAAGCCGCAAAAAGACAGCCATAAGAGAATAAAAATAACTGTAGAAATGAAACGTAAAATAACTGAAAAGCGAGAACGAGATGTGAGCATGGCTGATCTAGCACGCATATACAATCGGTCTACATCAACGATTTGGAGTTGAATTGTGTTTCAGAGCAAGAAGTTGTGGAGGAGAGTTTGTCAGAGGAGGAGGAGGAGGTAACAGCAAAGCAACAATCTTCTGGCGCAATAAGAGAAATGCTGAAAGCACGGGAAACTGTTGCATTGTACATTGAAAAGCATCACCCTAATAAGGCAGTGGCTATGTGTGCTACAAATTTATCTAATGATAATGCTGTGTCACATTTTCACCAAATTTTGAAGCGTCAGCAAACACAAATGTCTCTAGACAGCTTTCTAGTAAAAAAGAATTAGATATGTATCATAAATAATAAACTAATTATTTCAATTTTGTTTTCTGCAAATCGAATTCGCATTCCAGGTTGGTTCATTCCGCATAGAAGAAAAGATGAAGATGATTCACGCTCCTTAACAATGTATATATAATTTTCTTTGAATAAACGTTATACATAAAATTTTTTGAGTATTTTTTTTTGGCATGGAACGCATTATCGTATTTTACATTAATTTATATGGGAAAAATTGTTTCGCTTAACAAGTGTTTCACATTACAAGTAAGATTCTGGAACAAATTATGCTCGTTAAGCGAGGTTCCACTGTACTTTAAAGGCACCTGTATGTAAAATCTTCTTGTTACCATTTGATGTGAGAAATGATTCCTATTCTGGAAAACTTATAAGCTACAATTCCATAATGGATAGTGCATCTCTTCACCTAAATTCACCAGATCCTCCATTAAACAAATGTTCAAGCTTAGAGATTACTCTTTTACCCGATCCATATACATATCAAAGTATACATTAAACACATCAAAATATAAAGTTTTCTCGCTTGTTACCTTCTCCTCTAAGATTCATTGGTTGCTTCCGCCGATAGAGAAAGAAATCTTCACCAAGTTCATCATTCTTTCTATAATCTAGTGATCTGCCTTGTTGACTGGGCTGAAGCCTTGATTCATTGCCATTTGGCTCAGATACTGGTTCACAAAGTGGTGATGACAGCTCAGATTCCTGCACGAATATAAAGAGATTAAGCCAAGAATGGAATAAGTTATTCAAATAAGAAACTGTTATTATCCTGTCTACTTTCCAAGATTCTGAAGATCAGCATATACAAAACACTTTTGGCACACAAAGGTGTGAAATGTGGTCTCTTACTTTGAAGGAATATAAATTATTCCCTGCTGAAAGTAGGGCTGTTAGGAAAATTTTTGGGCCTAGGAAAGATGAAATAAGCAATGTAGGATGTTACAGCGAGAAATTCATCATCTAGTATTGTTACAGTAGTGATAGCTTGGCGTCTATGATGGAAGAGATGAGGAACACATACAGACTCTTGGTGGGGAAACCTGCTGGGGAACATCCACTTCAAAAACAGTGAAATGGAAGAGTAATATTAATATGGATATTTGGGAGATAGGCTAAGAGGATAAGAGGCAGATGGAACTCAAGCCTGGAACTAATTGTAGGTTTTATTATTAACAGCAATGAACCAGCAACTCTGAAAGGCTATCCCAACACTAATGTTTACTACTTGCAGTTAAAGGTAACACTTTTGTAATGAAATACAAACTCTCTTGCATTCCTTATTATGACATTTGAATAATTGCTTATACCATTCATGACAAAAAATTAATCAGTAAATTATAAACAGAGTAATCATGAACCATACCAAAAATATTTTACAAACAAATTACATTTATTTATACAGAATGCAAATCAATCTCGCTCTCACCACAATGTCACAAAATTACTGTACACAAACTTGATTCCTAACCTTTTTCTCTTGTACTTGAAGTGTGCAGATATTTTTGTTCTGAAAACTGTGTTGTCTACTGTTCACAAATTTTCACTTATGAACAATAAGCAAAAATAAACAAAATTACTTGAACATCATTTCTGAGCCACATAACCAAACTGCCCTGTCATAAATGTTGGTTTTAAAATGGGTGCATGACGGTCTTTGCTTTGGCCTTTGTCTTATAACTTGAGACAAGCCAGCATTTTATCAACTTCTGTTCTTGCTGTTCTAAATGTTGTCTTAAGTATTATGTAGATTTGTTGAATGAAGATTATGTCATTAATAGTGCTACTTCCTGCAGCTGCTTTGAGTACAGAATTTCCTAACAGTAAAGCAAGTATAGGCTGAATATTTAACAAGTTCCAGTTCTTCACTGATTGATGTCCTTGAAACATCCTGTCAAACACACTTGTGATGATGTTGACAGTTGACTCGAACCCCCGTGTGAGTAAGAGGCTGTAGCTTTTTATAAGCATCATTATACTTTCTATGGATCTATGGAAAATAAATGTATATGTATGTATGTATGAATGTTCATACCACTCTCGGACTATGAAATAATCAGCAGCTCAGCACACATTTGCAGGTACATAAGACACTGCATTCATCTTCTCAAAATTTCACATGGCTTCAGCATACAACAGACCTATCCAATGACATCTATACCACTAAATGACTAAATGATCTCAGAATATGACAGCACCTCTACAAGTTTAATTCCTGAAGTACTGGGGAACTCACTGTATGAAAGGTTCACTGACGTATCTTACAAAAGGACATTGTTGGTGGCCAATAAAGACTGCACTGCCACGAAAATAAGTGTTAATCTAAAGAAAATATGTTACTATGAGAAAATTCCCTTCACTTGTACAGTCTAGTATAAATACTTACAACATAACAAGGTCTTTACCTGAAATTTCAACAGGAAATTGTTAAAAACATACTTTGCCAAAAATACCCAAACTCATTAACTTCAAAAGTTTTGGAATGACAAGTACACTCACACTACGGTGAAGAAAAACAACATGTTGCTTCTATTCAGATGAAAAGTTTTTAACAAAACTTGTTTATAAAAAGCAACCTTTTTCATAATTACCTAACCTTTTTTTTTTTTTACTCAACTGGACACAGACCACAATGACAATTATCTAGTTCACCAGTTCAAGAAGTATGCATTCTTCAATCAGAGTCAGCTGTAAAAGTGTAAGGGATAATACAAATATGCATCATCATGTTTCAGTATCCTTGGTGAATAATAAAATAAATATCTTTATCATTTGGGGTGAATCAGCTCACTTTACCTACATGACCTTTGCCCTCTAGTTCCCAAACATGACAATGGTATGCATACAAGGGAGACAATATGTTATAGTTCAGCATCTGCCTAGACTACCCAGTCGCAATAACACCAACAATCTTTTGTGTAGCCATACATGGCTGACAACTGATAGACTTTAGAAAATTATGTCTGTCTTTGATAAGCTGAATAAAGTCTATGGTAAATTTTATAGCTCACTTAAACATATCGGACCCATGTTTAAAGGACATTTCAGACTGAAAATTACGTCAGGAATAAGGTTTGAAAGTATGACATGGAGTTTTGAAACAAGGTCTTTCTTCTCTAGTACTTGCTATTATGCCAACTGAAAAATCACATATGTCTCAGCTTAGCAGCACAGTGAACTGAAATTAAAGGTCTCTTGAGATTAGATAATGACAGCTATAGAAACATTTTCAGTTTCAATTCACTTCAAAGAATTTTATCGTAATCAGAAGAAAGTAATATGTTTTATAACATTCAATTCATCAAAAACTTTATTCACTTCAATATTCCATGCTGGCTAAAATTGCCTGTTATAGCAACAACCCTTTTTTCTAATTGCACGTCCACACATGGGAGGTGGCACCAACAAAAAATTTTACATAGGATACACACACGCATAGCTAAAGCTGTCTCATTATACAAGTGTGTGGTGACTGAATTCACTATTGTTATAGCAACTTCATGGCAATGAAAATATTCAGCACAAATGGAACCAACCAAAATATATTCACAAAATTGTTTCAAATACATAACAGTTTATTCAGTAACACAATATTTTGGTTTACCTGTGAAATGAGTTTTACTGAAGATGTCATCCACTCTACCTGTGAGACCTGTCCTGAAATATCTCATATATGTCATGATATTCTATGATGCTAACATTAGACAACTTAGTAGCTGCCTTGGCATGTTCAATTACTGTCATATCTGGTTTATTTTATTATACAGTTTTTGATCAATATTACTTTTGATTAGGTTAGGTCAGTGTGGATATTCAACTGGCTAGTAATAAGTACAAAACTGATACCCATACTTCATCTACAACTTCATGTCTTGAGAGGAGCATCATATGGGTACAATGGTGGGAAGTGGGACGTGTAACTCTTTTATCAAAATTACAGGTTTTTGTGATGGATTTATTTATCCATTTCATCGATAACACTTCAACTTTATATCACCTCACAAATGTGCCTTGTATATCCAGAATTCATTTTTAAATGAGTTCTATTTAGATGACAGAAGGATTAATTGTAATTTGTTATTTAATGGCACTGTTAGTATCAGGACTATGTAGAATGAATAATAGGATAATCAAAGAATACGGAGCTGCTGATGGAATGAAAATTGGCAGGGAAAATCAAAGTCCTTGGAGAAACTCTGCCCCTATGCTACTTTGTCCACCAGAAATCTCATGTGGCTTGACCTAGGATTGAACTTTGGCTAGCAAGGTGGGAAGGCAGTGACATGAAAGAAGCAGACACTGTGAATCCCCTATACAGACATTACATAAATCGTAAACTTTAAGTTTCAAGAAAAGTTGAGGATTATGCAGCTTAAAATACATTCACCTCCATGTTCTGGAATGCATACCATGACATAAAAATGATTAAAGCCAAAATTGTCCCTGTGCTTAATTAAATACCACACCATGAAGGCATATGGGAGAATGGACACAACACATTTCTAACACCAGTACTAGATGGAGGTGAGCTGTCAGTTTCATGCCACAGATGTTTTACCCATGGATCAGGGCCCCTGGTATCCACTGAGCAGAAGGGTGAATGGGACCCAGAACTGGTCTGGGCACTGTGGAAAAGAGAAAAACTCTGCCCCTGCCCAGAACCAAACCCTGATTCCCTGACTGCTCCACCTACAGCCTGATCAATATCCTGACTGCAGATACTGCAATTTCAGGTTAGTTCATATAAAAAGAAACTGAGTTCCCTCTTGATATCAAAGTAAAGTCATCCATATTCTAGATCCTTACAATTCTAATTTGAGATTCTTCTCATAATTGTTGGTGTGGAAATAACCTTTGATGATACTAAATTTAACACCCTACATGGATGCTATTTAAAGTGGGACCTCAGATTAATGTATATTTCTAATGATATGGGAAACATCATATGAAAGTAACTGCTAAATAATACTACTTCTGTGAACATTAAAATACTGAGTAACCTGTTCCAGAGATCTCTTCTGTTTTTTCTGACCATCACCATGTCCTTCATCTTCAAGCATACCAACACCCATATCTTCCAGAATTTCAGGTTCAACGTCAGTTTCTACAGCAGACCAGCGTTTATTGTTGCCGCTCATCACGGACTCCTGTAACTCTTCATCGCTATCTGATATTTTGCTACGTTTGGGGCAAGGCCTGCTAAATTAAGAATAAACATAATTTTGCACACGCTTTCAAACATTTTCTACCTATATACAAAGCAGTAAAAAAAGATCTCATGGCTTCAAGATTTGTCATTACCTTAAACTAAATTGTGTATTAAAACCAGTTCCACATAAATTGCTAATAAAGCTATACATCCCATGCAGAAAAACCAGCATGCCCAGATCATCAGTAGTGTACGATGTATCAGACTACTCTAGCTAAGAAAGTTAAGTAAACATGAATTCCTACGTATAGCTTATTTATTCTAATCAACAAATAATAATACATACCAGTCAGGTGATACAGATTTATCACAATTTTTCTCAATCTCCGCCGTTTGTATCGGCTTCTTCTTCCCACCTTGTTTCATTTTTGGCGGAATCGTGTAAACTATCAGGGCTACCAACATAACTGTGTCTTGTTCCACGATCAATATTAGCACGGATTATTAAAAGAGCTAAGTAGGTCGACAATGCTGGCGTAACTAAAAAATGTTATTTTGGAGTGAGTTCCTGGTTAGGGCCGCGCCATAGCTCAAGCGGTTAGTCGCTGGCGTCGCTGGCTACCCACCGCGGCGGCCCGGGTTCGATCCCAGGTCTGGTCAAGTGGGATTTGTGGTGGACAAAGTGGCGCTGGGGCACGTTTTCTCCGAGTACTTCGGTTTTCCCTGCCAATCTTCATTCCACCAATTACTCCACAATCACCCTCACCTATCATGTGGGGCTCGTACAATAGGCCAGAAGTGGCCTCTGTACAAGGGACTTAGTCCCACCCCACTAGCAATAAAATAAAAATAGTTCCTGGCTACAGATCAAGAGATCCGGGTTCGATTCCCGGCTGTACCAGATTTTCTCTGAGAAGTAGTGGGTCTGGAACGGGGTCCATTAAGCCTCGTGATGATAATTGAGGAGCTCTTTCGAGGAAATAGCGGCTCCGGTCTCGAAAACCGAAATTAACGGCCGTGGGGATTCGTTGCGCTGACCACGCAACACCCTCTGTCCGCAAACAGCAGTAACTATGAAAAGTATTTGGATCTGGGTTATGACATCATGTAGTCTGCTAGAAGTGTATTGATGTTTTTGAGAAACGTTCTAACCCATCTTCAGGGTCAGAGGAATACATTAACAAGAGCATCTCATGTGCATGGCCTGTGATGATTCTTTGAAAGATATGAGGGTCGTACTGAAAGTCATGAGCAACAATTTTTTGTAAAGTAACATGCTTTATTATTGACAAACCAAATACACCACCTCAATCTACAGACCTTTTTTATTTTTCCACATAATCGCCACTTCTTTGTACATATTTCTCCCAGCATTCTGGAAGTTTGAAAATTCCGCTTCTGTAAAATTCCGTTCCAGCCATCTGAAGACACTGACGCACTGCTTTCTGAATTGCCCCCTTGTTTCAAAACGTTGTCCATGCAGCTGATCCTTCACAAATCCAAAAACATGGTAGTCGGAGGGTGCCAGATGAGGGCTATAGGAGGGGTGTGGAAGAACTTCCCACCCCATCTTTGCAATTGCTTCCAATGTGAGGCAAGCGGCGTGGGGGCGAGAGTTGTCATGCAGGATGATGATGTTTCATACCGGACATTTACCACACAATGCATGACGGAGCTTGTGCAGCATCTGGACATAACGAGCAGCATTGATGGTTTGCCCAGGATCCAGGAATTCGGCCAGAATACCCTCTGCATCCTAGAAGACTGTGCCCATCACCTTCGCAGCTGATGGCACTGTCTTTGCCTACTTTTTTGATGGAGAATGCAAATGGTGCCATTCCATACTCTGCCATTTCGTTTCAGGCTCAAAATGGTGAAACCAGCTTTCATCACCTGTCACAATACAGAGCAAAAAATCATCGCCTTCCTGTTGATATCTCTGCAGCAGTTCTGAGGTGATGGCTTTTCGCTGACCTTTGTGATCTTCGGTCAATAACTGTGGGACCCAATGAGCACAAACTTTCCTATAGCCCAAGCTTTCAATCATCTCCTGTACTGCACTGTGCCCTATTCCAAGTTTTTGGGCTATTGTGCCCACAGCCACACGCCTGTCATCTTGAATGATCTCATCCACTCTTTCCTTGTTGCGTTCAGTTGAGGATGTTTGAGGACGACCGCTCAGAGGCTCATCTTTGATGCTGGTGTTCCCATCTTTAAAATGTTTCACCCATCTTCGAACACTGCTCGCACTCATGCACACACTTCCATAAGCATGCTGAAGTTTCTGGTGGATTTCTGCAGCAGGGACTTCCCCTTTCACAAGAAATTCGATGACAGCACGCTGGCAAAACGACATATTGTTGTCAGCCATTTTGTTAGGAGTGATACTGGTCACGTGTTGCGAGCTATTGACGTCACAAAAAACTCAAGGTTAACACAACAGCTGGTTCCACCTACCACCATATTCTCTTTTGTCTGCTGTTCCCAGGTTGCATGCAAAAAAAAATTGCTCATGACTTTTGGTACGAACTATGTACATTTGAAGCAGATAACTTGTTCAGTTCTGGTTGTATTGTATCGTATTGTATTGTATTGTATTTATTAGTCCACCATAGAGCCATAAGAACTTACAATTTCAGCGGATGTAGTTACCGTCAATAAATATATACAGTCAGCCTTGCAAAATTGTTCTTGTCCAACAAATACATGACAGAAAAATATATGAGATCAGCTGTGCAATAGGGCACATTGTCTAACAAAAGTTTCACAACTATGCAAAGTAACATGTTACAATTAATGCAGGAAAAAGTCAAACATAAAATGCAAAAGATCATATATACATAATATTTCTTATAGACCAAAAAGATTACAAAATAGTTAAAAATTAATATCATAAAACTTCTCCAAATTATAAAAACAATGAGAAACCAGATATTTTTTTAAGGTTCTCTTAATTTTTTAGGTGACCGAATCAACTCTTTAAGATAAGAAGGTAATTTATTGAAAATTTTAATACCGGTAAAATATATGCCCGTTTGATATATAGTTAATCTCGAAAGAGGAAAATGAAGATTTTCACCTTGTCTAGTCTTCACATTATGGCTATCGTCATCATCATCATCATCATCATCAGTAATCTGTCAGACGACAGGTCCACAGTCTCTTCCAAAACAATTCCTCCACTTAATGCGATCTAGAGCTTTCTCCTTCAAATGACAGTATCCTCTTCTGTCCCCAAGGTCATCCAGCATCTTCTTACGTCTTCTTCCTCTTCTTCTTGTCACTTCTACCC